TCCCTTAAAATAATAGTGTGGTTTAATTTGTAAAGTTGTAAAATATGTGGATAATATTGAAAAGTTATAAAAGTTGGTGTAAAAGAGAATATTTTGGGAATATTCTTTTGGGTTTGAGAATAAATTTTTCGGTTGGAGATGAGTTACTGCAAAATGGGTTTGCGTCTGGGTTTTTGGGTTGGAGATGACCACAAAGAGGGAGAAACCTCCCCAAAACGCTAATTTGGCCAGCTGATTGGAATTAGTTTTCCCCTAAAATCCGCCATTTTGGAGTTGAAGGAAACCATGGCCTTCTTCCCTCTACTTCGAAACCCTTGCTTGCTTGCGTCTTTCTAAACAAATAACAGAGAGACATCAAAGCAATCTCACTTCTGTAAGGTATACGATTGTTCCTCGACATTTTTTGCATTGTATTCTACTTTGTGCCTCCACTGTTTTCTGTTTATTTACCTATCATTTTCAATTTATGTCTGTAATTTCTGTATTTTTTTTTTTTGTTCTCATCAATTCACTGTAGAAGTTTCAAGATCCAATATCGATATTTTATTGGTTCTTTGATTGATTTACTGGCTCTTGATTGAGATTCTTGTGAATTTCTAATTTCCATTTCTTGCATGTCAATTTATTTTCTGTTGTCCTGAATCTTATGCAAATGAGTCGATTATTTTATATAGTGGAGCCTTTTCAGATTGGGTATTGGATGCACAGATCTTCGTCATAGATTATTTAGCTTGTTTACAGCTGATAAATTGAGAATCAATGGACCAATTTACTCGTTTAATTCGCGTTGGTTAGAGTTACATGACTCATCAACTTATTCGCCATCAATATAGATACAGATACCTTAGTACACATCTCTATATAGATACAGGTACAGACATGCGTGTGTGTGTGTGCGTGCAATCAGCTTCTGGCAACTGATTGTTCATGCTCTGCTAGGGTCTTTGTTTTGGGTTGTAAATAATTACAAAGAAAAGAGAAGGCAAATATTTTGAAGGGTTCTGTTTCTTGTTTAGTTCTGATATATTCTTTCAAGGGTGTGAATATTTGTGTTTGAGTTTTCTCTACTGTTGATTAGATTTAATTGGATCCGTTACTTTACTTTGAACATGACCTTACCTGATACATTAGGTCTGCAAAATTCCAAGCTTGAAAAGCAGCTTTTTCCTTTTCCTGGACTTTAGTTAACTAGCGATAACTCCAGCCATAAGTGAGTGGTTGAGCTTTTTCGGAACAAGCGCTGAAATCTCGGTATTCAATGGTATACATTATCATTTCTATGTGGAAGTTGGGTGTGAATTCAATGTATTGATATGAACTTTGCTTTTACTAAATGGTAATGAACTAAATTTGTCCACCAATCCGGTTATTGTGATGTAGAAGCAGTGAAGTTATTTTATGGTATGCACACATGTTTTCTTTTAATTTGTGCAGCATCTAAAAGTAGGGAGAACTACAAACAAGAAAAATTAATTGTGCTTGACCTTGAGCATGTGGAGTCACAGAACAACTAAGATAAATGACTCATAGTTTATCTAATTTTCTTTATGGGTACTTAAATCCACTACTCTTGATATGAATGCGGTGTTTTTAGCGATACTGACGGCTATGTAAAAGTTCCGGCGTTTTGTTTTACTTTCTTACAAATATCAAGCACCGGAGAAGGTAAAGTACCCCTGCTTTTTCTAATATACTAATAGTTGTGTTTTGAATTTCTCGTTCTCTTTCCTTTGTGGATGGTAGAGTTTTCTGGAGATTTTAGATTTTTTTTTTTTTACTTTGGAAAATTGTCAATTCTGATAGAATAATTATTTTTTTACCTAAAATATTGATGTTAGAATTGTTCCACCGCGGTTTTCGTTTTCGCTTTCGTTTTGGGATTACAGTGTGTGCTGGTATCGTATTTTAGTTGAAAAGAGTCGCAATATTTCTTACCTGTTGGATTGTGTTTTGACTTCATTTTTGTGTTGTTGTTTGTTAGTTTTCATTTCTGTTTTCCCTAGTTAAACTGTGTTGAAAAAGTTTGGTTAACTCTGCAAATTTTAAAATGCTGGTGAGTTTTTTATGCGATTTTCAATTTTAGTTCGGTTCGGTTTTGCACCAAACTGCACTGTTGTAGAGAGATAGATGAAAAAATAGTAGTAATATTTGAAACTGGGCGTTGAATCGTTTTGTTAGTGTGCCAGCCAAATAGAATGACCCCTGTGTATTTTACGCTTTGATAAGTACAATGCTTTCAACTGGGGTCACTGAGACGTGAGTGTTATGATGCCGTTGAGTTTGACCTTGGACCATATGTAGGTGTTCATTTGCATCATCTTGACTAGCTTAAGTTATGAATTCTAACTGCCACATGTGCTCGCCGTTCCCTCTGTAAAGCCTTGGTTTTGATGGTGTTTTGATTGGGCTAGTTTGTATTCTTGTCCTTTTTGAGTAACAGAACACACTAATGGAGTTTGGCTTTTTTATTGTGATTTATATCACAAATTACATTTAGCTTTGGATGTTACATAGTGCTATGACTTGGTTGTTTGGTATCCTAAGTCGGATCTTCTTACGATTCATTGAAGCTAATGTTTTATTTACTGTCAATGTTGCCGTTCTAGTGGTGCCAAGATCTACCAATAAAAAGGCCTTAGATACGTTCTGTCTGACTCCCCCGGTGGGTTATGGGGAGAAGTCCTTATTTGCTTTTAAAGAAAACTAACATAATTCGACTTATTAAGCTAATGCACAATATATGCTTTATCTGTAATGGATTTTTATTTTTTTACATTAGATGTCCATTTATCTTACATATAATAATCTACTCATAAATACAATAAGTATTCCAGATGCAATATTGGCCTTAGTTCGTGATTAATAACTTTTAACTAATTATTCAAGAGAACATGCAAAATTATCTCGAAAAAAGATTTTTAGCATGGGGCATTCATGTAAAATAAATATCATTGATTCATTTTGTTTGTTCAAATTATCAATCACATTTACTGATACTATTTTTCTAAATTATTTGAGTATCAATTCCTATCATTACACAGTAATGGCCCACTCAATCACTATTTCACCCTTTTTTGGATAGGTAAAAAGATTAAGCATATTTATAATGCTATTTTTTTATTTTTTATTTTTTTTATTTCAAGTTTCCAATAAACTACTGTGCTCAACTCTCATACCCAGATTGGATCCACTCGTTATTTACCCCATCCGAGTCGGCATTGTTTCGTTCTGGGCAGATTCGATCAGCATCATCGTCAAATTTAGCTGTTGAGTGAGTTTAGTCGTCAACGCCATTGATTTCTTGGAGCTTTTTCAATTTTCAATCTTTGTCTGAATACAAAAGGCAAAGCCAAAAGGGGCCGATATGCAGACATTGGGGGAATTCAAGCTGCCCCATTTCTTCAACTACCCACCATATTTCACGTATCACCTCTTACTCCATTTTTTTCTCCAGTCTCCACTATCTTAATTTTTAGTGTGATTTCTCATTATGTGAAATTCTGGGATTGAACTCTGTGTTGGATCTTTCTTCCATTCAATTAATCACTCGTCGTCTTTTTGCTTGCATTTGTTTCATTTTTTTCCTACTTTAATTTATGGTCAATTATCTATTTTTCACGATGAAGATCAGCTTACTGATAAGGTCTCGTTCAAATGGAGAAGCTTGATTGGATAATGCCATGAATTATTTGTTTTGGTACAATAGGATTCTTTTCTCGAGGTTTATGTTTGGGGGATGACAGAAAAAGAGTCTTGCTCCTGTTTTAAGAGTTTTATATCTACTTCAAGATTCCCCAAGCCAGCTTGAAAAATATGTTGGGTTCTAAAAATCCAAGTTTGCCTTGTTTATTACAATTTTAGAAGATTACTTTGATCAAGTGGTAGAAATCATAATCATTCGTGAAATTTCACAATCTGAGATTATTTTCAGTTCCCTAGATTATTTTCTGTTCCCAATTTGAGAGAAGGAAAGAGTTTATAACTCGAAAGCAGATACCGAATTTTATCATGTTTCTAGGTGAAATGTTTTGAATTGAACTTCCTTTGCAAAAAAAATTTTCCCACTGGAAAATGGTCCTGACAACCTTTTCAGTTTTTCACCAAGAACTTGAGCATGTTGCACTTCTTATTTTAAGCTTTCATAGAAGTAGTAACTTGTCAGATGATGAACTTTTGTTTGTTGGTATGTAATGCTTTCATACTGCTGTAGTTTGCAGCCAGTTAGAGAAACGAGAGAGAAGCAGATACAGCTCTGGAAGGAGCTCATACTTGATTACTCTCGGACTCAAAAAGTTTATGTTGTCGGAATCGATGAAGATTTCCCATTGTTCATCAATCCAGTGATTGAAAGTAAGTTTTATATCTCGTGATCATATCTTTTAGATATTTCAGGTTTTTCTTGCCTTTACTAAAAGAAAGTACTTCTGGATGAATAATTAACTATGTTTAAATGTTTGAATATTTACTTTCTTGTGTTCTATCTGGGGAGTTTGACTAGAGTTATTTAATGGGCCTTAATCCTATGTATATATATAAATATATTATATATTGTAAGAAAGCTGTAAATTGCTTTGTCACCATCTCAAAGTACCATAACTGATTTTGTGCAGATAATATTCAATAGTTGAGTTGCTTCTTTGTTAAAGAGAAGCTGAATCCCCTGATTTGAGTTGTCTCACAATTTCCTATCATTAACCATATTATTATAGTGAATGGAAGAATGAATAAAATTAATTATAAAAGGATGAATGTTGTCGTGATACTTTGAGAACAGAGTTGCTTATTTATAGAAATATTCAATTCAATTTGTTTATCAAGGATCAAGTTGATTTAACTCATCATTGAACATTTTTTCGAATTTCCCCTTCAGAATCTCATATTATGGTATGCTTCGTGGGTCTGATATGATGATTGGGTCTGTGATTGTGCAGGGTCTCTAAGTCATGAAGCTAGGGAGGCATTTATGTCAGCCTTAGTTGCTGAAGGTTTATTTCTATTTACCGATTTTTGTATTTGCTGTACCTTAGTTTGTAAATAAGATGTTTTGTACACAGCAAATTTGGTGCTCAATTAGTTGAACATCACAGGACGTGCAGAATGGTTGGATAAGAGTCACAGAAAATGTCTAATCCTTTGGCATCGGATACAAGATTGGGCTGACATGATAATACGTTTTGTTAGTATTCCTAATTTTTCTGCAGTGTTTGATTCGTTTGACAGTGTTCGATTCATGCATGATGTTCTTGTTTTTTTCTCCGTCCAATTAGGTTCAAGATAATGGGCTTGAGGATAGTGTTATGACAGTTGAGGAAATACGTTCAGGGGTCGAGTCTCGGGGGACAGGTAAACTTCAGTCTGCGGAGTTTCATGCAGCCTTTACTCATTTGATCATTTTCATTTAATCTGTAGTTTATGGGAGGGTGGAAATATCTCTGTCAGAGCTATTGGCATTTATAGTAAAAAGATTTTCGACCTTCCCTCTTTCTCTCTCTCTCTCTCTCTGATACAGAGCTTCATGGGGTGGACCGTACAATACTGATGCGAGCCTTGAAACACCTAGAACACAAAGGGAAGCTTGCAATCTTCAAAGGGACTTCATCTGATGATGAAGGAATTAAATTTTCAATTTAGACACATGTTTTTATTTCCATGAATGAATGAATTATTGTTGTTTGAGCATGTTATATGTTTGAAAACCTCAAAACTTTCATTTATGTGAATTCTGGTGACTTTATGTACATATATTATCACACAGCCATTTTTGTATCATTTTCATGTAACTATTTCAGGCACAATGCAATGGTATGCCCTTTAGTATTTTTAAGTTTGTAATTAAACTAATTAAAAAATATAACTCGATATGCTTGATATATCTTTTTAAGTTTGTAATTTTTTAGTATTTCGAAATTGGTACCATACCATGAATTTTAAATTTTATTGACTTGAAATTGAAGGAATATATCTTCAATGCTCTTTCAATTGGCACTCTTCCATAAATTAGTAATCGTACAGAAAACAAAAGTTATGTGTTTAATAAATATTAACTGCATTCTTACAAAGAACAAATCTGCAATACCTTGCTTGGCATAAAATCTCTCACTCCTCAACCAAATACCTTAGACTCCCTTTGGGAATTGAAAAAATCATGGTTCTGAAAAGTTTTCGAACCGGTAAAGATACTGGTTTACTGGTCAAACCAGTGGTACAACCAGTTTAATTAACATATAATTATTTATTTATTTTATATGTATAATATATAATTATATATATTTTTATCATTAATTTTATAGTGTATGACATTTATCTAAATAATAATTCAATAATAAATACAACCGGCAATGTTGATTAATGTTTATAACTTTATTTTTAATTTAACTACATATTTAATACTACCAACTATATATGTACTTTTTATTCCTTAATTTAAGAGTAATGCTACATAACCAACCTAGTTGTTTGTAGTATTTTTGGGCATGTGGTAACCGAGCTACCCGACTCGAGTCGTTCTCAAATGAAGGCTCTTCGGAGCTTTGTTCATTACCTAGTCGTCAAAGTCACACAACCGAAAAGAAGGTCCTACACATTCTACTCGCTTGAAAGAGATTGATTTAAGCTAAACTAATCTACGAAATTAAGAGCATTGAAAGCAATTAACTAAGGGGGAAAGAGAGATTTTGGTTTGCCGGAGTCTCCATGATCAATCACACGCAAATAACCGAACATTGTCATGCTAGCTAAAACCCTAGGAAGCTAAACCAAGCTCTAGC